AAACAAATCAGATGACTCTTTCTTTAGTATTTTAAGGAATACTTCACCCCAACATGATCATTTGTATATTCTTGAATGCCTCTAGTGATGAAATGAAGTCATTATTTTTTAGAAAAATGAAAGAGTGATTCCAAAGAGAGGCAGACAGAGGGGTCTACAGTGTGTGTTTGAAGGATATATCCAGGATGTCAAACTGACTCAGCAGCAACAACAGGTTAAAAAGACAAAGATAGTTAGAAGCTAAAGCCGAACTACAGGCTACAGATCACAGTGTAAAAGTGAACCACCACATCACTGCTGATCGCCACACAAGACAATGAATATAAAGGGAAACTTTGCTAATATTAAACCAGCTGTGTGGCATCACAGTGTGTGCAGATGAACTGTGTTTGGCTTCGGACCCAGACCTCCACCGATGGACAGGCAGGGATTTCTGGGGAAGTCAAACACTGTTCATCTGCACACACTGTGATGACACACAGCTGGTTGAATATGAGCAAAGTTTCCCTGCTTCCCTTCACTGGTTTCTGTACAGCAGGGTCGGTCTTTGTTTCACTGTTATAATCATTACAAAGCAAAAGCAGCATGTGTATACATTCAGTAGGCTATATCAAAAGAGCCCCATTGCTAGGCTTTAAGGAAATCGGAAAGTAATCCAGTTGTCTTTGTGACAGCAGTGCAAAAGGGGTGAAAAGTTGTCTGTTTCCACTTTAAAGAGTCAACAGTTATACATTTAGGCTTAAACATCTGGACTGATGGAGCCAAATGACAGCAGCCTGCTTGTTTTGTCATAAAGCCCTGCACTTCCTGACAAATCAGTGGCTACATTTCCTGCCTGACATTTAGTCAAGCAGAATAATGCATATTTGTCCTATTTAACTTTTAACAAATACAGACAATGCTCTGCAGCCTTAAATGTGACACATCAATGCCTCTGAATTCAAACATCATATATATTTAAGGAGGGCGGCAAATTTTTTTTTGATGATATTTGATGAAGATCCCATATGAGAAGCGTTGTCAGCTCCAGACGTTTGACACATCAATGAGCGGGTGATATTTATTGCAGCGATTGCCTGCTGTGAATGTGCTCTGACTTATTTGCTGCCATGGGACACCTGACACCTTCCCTTTGATGTAAACCTCTCAATTCTTAAGTCCTCAACTATATGGGCACTTTCACAATGCAGAGACGGGGTTTTATCTGCCAGGGGGGCCATCAGAAATGATTTGTTGATGATTTGATTTTCATCCCAGAGAGTATATGGCTGCATAAATAAATGCCTCCAAACAGGCTGAGCACAGAGGCGACCTGATGATGGAGCTGTGGCATAATCTCTTTGATGAAAGGAGAGAACTCTGTGAGAAACTTTCCGAGCCAATCTGCTAAACTCTCTAAACTCTCAAATGTGATTTCATTTGTGTGTGCGTGATGTTCTCTGGGAAGTTAAAATTCACATTTGGATCCTCCTGTGGAAGCCATTTTGTGTGTGAGGCTTCCACTAATTAATGCGTCTTTTTATTTACCTGGAAGAGGTTCCTGCAGTTTCACATTCAGGACGTTGGGATCTTCTTTTGTGTCACAGATGAAAGCCAAGTCACACACCATCCTTAATCCTCCAGCTTAGTAATAGCAGTCAATTTAAGAGTATGAAAGTCGATTTCCTCGTGCATCATGTCGCATCTGTGCAGGTCTTATATCAAAACAGATTTTCTTTACAGATGGTTTAATTGCCTGTCTTGAGTATTAACCTTCAAAGTAGTTTTTTGAGCATTTACTGTACATATCACGTGTGTGTAGATAAATAAAAGTGCCCTTCACCTCTTGTGTAGCTACACTGACAGGGAGCTGTCACTATGATGAGCATGTAGAACATGGCACTTTGATAAGGGTAGTCTCAGTAATGAGCTACACAAGATCAGATGCTCTTCTGCCTTCTGTGCTTCTCAGGTGAAGAGCTGCTTAGAGACAAAATCATTTTTTCATAATGACCTAACAGGCAGCAGCGGCCCTTGCCCTGATGGTCTTGTCAAATTTGTGTTAACCACTCCTGAAATCTGTGTATTTTAATTCATGGTTTCACTCTCTTTTGCTTCCAGCGCCGTCCTTGACTGTCTTTAAGTAGCCTGAGCGGTAACAGCAGTGATGTTTATAATATGAAACTGTAAGAACATATCTGAAGGACATTCAGCAATACTGTGAGTAAATTAATTATAAATCCACATAAAGAAACAAATGCAATGCCTTTGGTTACATGTGCACAATCATACAAACTGTGCATGCTTTACCACCATCCTCAGGAAGCAAAGAGTAAATTTGCACAACATTTGAGGCTCTTGACAGATTATATACCAGGTCCTTTGGTAAAATTAAACAAATAATTAAATTAATAAATACAAATTAATGGAGCAATAAACTGCAGGAATTAAATATATTAAATCAGTTATATTAATTCTTTGTTTTGATGCAATTATATGACTTTTTATTTCAGAAATCCCTTTTTTCATTTATAATTATTATTATCACCAAGGATACTTTTATTTATGTCATATTTTAACTCATAATGTCCCCCTCACCTTTTAGCAATTCACCTCTGCCTCTTTTAGCAAGACTCACAACTGCTAACCAAATTTAGCTAGCTAGCGCCTGTTAGCTAACACAACAATGTCAAAGTTATTCTGAATCACCTCACTGGAATCCACTGACGCACAACACACACACACACACACACACACACACAGTAACTAAAGTCTGCTTTTATTGAGCTTAACAAGGCTGCATATGCTATCTAATTAGCGCTAACTAGCAGCTAACTTGCTAGCTTGTAAGCTTAGATTATTTCTCAGCATCCAAGTGAAGAACGTTAGCAACAGCAGCTAGGTGGTTCATTTTGATTGACCTCAGCAGGGTTTTGACTCTATAAATGTCCCCAGATAAAGACAAACAAACACAAGTAGTCTACATCTTTGTTTTTTGCAGTTAGTTGCAGCCAGCAAGAGCTAATGTTAGCCTGGCTAAAATGCTACCTCATTTCTGGATTTTAGGACTCATTCCTGTTGCACTCTATAGACAGCACTTTGAGTAACTAAAGCATTCATAAAGAAGACACTGTTAAATAATAACATGAATAAATTGTGTAAAATAACTTATGAGACTGAAAAATGTTCTAGTTCTCATAATAGTGCATTAGAGTTCATTTTTATTTCATCATGGTTTACTTCTGCACTCCCAGCTCCTTTGTCTCAAAGTCTATGGATTTTTTTTTTGTTTTGATAAATGCCTAAAATGAGGTCTGTAGTAAACACAAGCGTAAGAGATTCCCATGTTTTGTTCTTCAACATTCAACAAGTCAGTAAATATACCATTCATGAATTCTGAAGCCTGAATGTGTCTTGAGAAGGACGGTTGCTAACAAGTGGCTTAATGAGTCTGTCATTACACTGAACACTACTTCAGCTTTGTGATAGTGGTGACATTTTTAATGCATCTATAGTTTAGTTCTTTCATAGCCTAACGTTAGCATTTATGCTTCAAAAATCATAAAGTGGTGTTTATTTGTGAAGATCATCTTGCTGAACAAACCAGCTAAGTATCATAACCCATGCAGCCATTGGACTCGGCCCATTTGCGGCAGAGTGTCGGCTGACTCGGCTGTGTTCTGGCCCCATGGTGCCAAATGTGAGCCAGCTGTGGCCCGTTTACTTTTGCCAAATGTGGCCCAGATTTAGCTGTAACAGACATGGGCCTAGTCTGACTGAGACACGGCAGCTGGACAAAACGGCGGCCTGCACCAAAACATGTTCTGGCCCATTAATGGTTGCCAAATCTGGACCTGATTGGGCGTTGTAGACATCCCGGCTGAGACACAGCTGCCAGAATCAGGCCAGTTTATTTCGCCCAATGATAGGAGCACTGTTCTCTGCAATTTCTGCAGGAAGGAGTTTTCATACCATCGGAGAACTTCAAACCTGAAATATTACCTCAAGGCAAAACACTGAGCAGCGAACCTGGAGGTCCGAGCTAGCATAGAGTGCCGAAGTCACGCCCCTTCCGGTAGAGCTCATGGGACCTTAGATCGGAATGAGGAGAGCAATATTATCTTTTGTTCCCGTTTGAGTTGCGACATGAAATCTAAATTTGTTGTTAATGAATTTAAAACATAAATTTTAAGGTCAAGAAAGTCATACTTTGTGGTAAAACTGTTGAGATATAAGCTTTTTAATTAGAAAGACTCAAGAGTACACAGGAGGCGGTCGCGTATGTGACGTCATAGCTTTCGCTCACTTCCTGCAGCTGAAATTCCACTGTTTTATGATTAATCGAGTTATGATTGAAGATGTCTGTGTGTTTTGTGCCAGGTTGCAGTCACTCCAAGCTGCAGGAAGCGAGCGAAAGCTATGACGTCACATACGCGACCGCCTCCTGTGTAGTTTTTCTAATTACGTTTTTTCAAAAGCTTATATCTCAACAGTTTTACCACAAAGTATGACTTTCTTGACCTTAAAATTTATGTTTTAAATTCATTAACGACATATTTGGATTTCATGTCACAATTCAAACGGGACCAAAAGATAATATTTCTCTCCTCATTCACTGCCATTTATATTTTTTCCGATCTAAGGTCCCATGAGCTTCACCGGAAGGGGCGTGACTTCGGCACTCTATAGCGTCTGATGCTAGCGCTATCAGCCAGCCTCATCAGACGCAAAGTGAGTAAGTCTACCTGTGACCAGCTAACCAACTTCCTGGCAAAATGGATTGCAATGGACTGCAGACCAGTTTGGGTGATAGAGGACAGGGGGACAACTGTGTCCAAAATCCAGCAGCTTTTCTACGACACATCTGCCAAAATTCATTTGAACTGGTTTCTTAAATACTTTCACATTAATTTGGATTAATTAATCACAGAGCATGTAATTAATTCAATTATTTTTTTTTAAATCACTTGACAGCCCTAATTTGGGATTCCATAGGGGATCATGCAGTCATGCCGTCTCACCTCGCACCACAATGGTAGTGGACTTCTTTGCCGGGTTCCCCACGTTGTTGCTGGCCACGCAGCTGTAGACTCCCGCCTCGTCTGAGGTGATGGCTGGGAGTGTGAGCGTGCCGCCCTTCACCACGCTCCTTTGTGGCAGGCTGTCATTGCTGCTGACCCAGGTGAGAATCGGGGGCGGCTCTCCACCTGTGGTGATGCACACCAAGGATACCGTCTGGCCAGGATTCACTACGATAGGATCCTCCACCAGCAGCTTGATGGACGGGGAAGCTGTGGAGGGAGAGCACGCTGAGTCTTAGAAAGATTGGCAGCAGATGGACAACTTTGGCAGGTATGACAGTTACTGAATATGTCGGTTCACTTCATCTGTCTGTTTCCATGTCTGTCCTACATTTAATAAGACACCTTAGCAGAATTTGCTCATTTTGCAGTCTACTTGGAATAATATCAACATTTTGGGTGTAATTTCCTAAAAAAAATAACGATAGTAAAGTCAACACTCTTAAGTACCTGTCTTATTGGTGAGTCTGAAGATAACACTGCGGTCAGGGATCCCACACACATTTCTCACAGAGGCGATGCAGCTGTAGTTGGCGTAGTCTTGAGGACGCAGGTTCTTCAGCTTCAAAATCTTCGTTTCCCCCTGCAGCTCAGACCAAACCAACACTGGTATGCAAATGTGTGCAAAAATATCAACATAATCAAGTCAAAAACAGCAGAAAACTAGGTAGTGGGATGGAGATGACAAAGGCCAAACTGCTCCAAAGAAAGGTCAAAGAGATGAATATGTATTCAGCTTTAATGAAGTCCAAAATGAAAAGAAAAGGCAGCAGAGCTCCAGAATACTGCTGTAAAATCACTATAGGAAAGAATGGTGGTGGTTTTAAAGGAAATGGATGTGTCAACTCGCTTAAATACCAACGTGTGGATTACTTTCTAGTCAATGGCCCTGCAGTATTTTACCATTCAGCTAGAGAAATATGGATGGGCTCAGCAGGGGGTTCCCTCCACAGAAACGGCTATCTCACTTATAATATGTGTTTGATTCAACCATGTGCCCTGCCCAGAAGGCTGTGATGAGGATGTGAACCTTTGATCGGGCTGCCTCCAGTGTGTGGGTGTCGGGTTGGAGGGGGGAGGCGGCAGATTAAAACATGAGTCAGACGCACGCTGCGGCAGTCCACACAACATGGCAATCACTCACGTCTTTCATATCCAATGAGGCTCATGGGTAACTTAATTGTATTAGATTAGCCATGGACCCCCACACTCCTCTTCCTTTCTTTCTCTGTCACCTCCTCTGCTTTGGAGCAGATATCAGCAGATGAGGTCTGCGGTATTCAGAGTGCAAGCTTTACTCACAGCAGGGGAGGGGGGCAGATTGGAAGGAAAATCTATTTGGAAAATGCAAGGGGCAGAGAAAGGAGTGGAAAGGACAAACACATTAAAGCGAATGGGACAGGGGGATTGATGGCCATATTGATGGAAAGATTGAACGCTAAAGTACACAGGAGCTTCGGGAACGGGTCTTACGGCTGTCGGTAAAGGGCAAAGAAATTACCGAGGAGTTTATTGTCGCTGTCAGGAGAAAACATTTAGTTTCGTTTTGATGTTTTAAATTACATATTTAAGGGAGGAAATGATCATCTTTGGGAACCTAAAATCAAAACCACCTTCATGAACTCAAAGGGACAGAGCCCCTTGATAAAAAATAAACATTTTTCCTCTCAGCTGTAGACCTATTTATCAGTCTAGATGGTTTTGGTGCTGGAGACATCCACCATAGGGATGTCTGCCTTCTCTCCAATATAACAGAACTAGATGGCACTCAGCTTGTGGTGCACAAAACGCCTAAACCATTTTAAAAACTCAACAGCAATGTCTCTTTCCAGAAATCATGACCTGGTTACTCAAGATAATACACAGACCTTGCTTTGAGCAGTTTCATGTAGGATCTATTTTCTGTCTATTGAACTCAGCCCTGTCCCTCAAGGAAGATGCCTGCCAAGCTGCAGACCACCGTTTTAGACCAACAGACGAATAATGGTTGTTTTTTTTAGCAGGTAATTGCTGCATGTCCAGTGGCTTTTTACTCACCAAACGTGGGTGTTTTTAGTGACCCATTGCCAGAAATAGTGCCACAAACAGTGGTTGTATTTGTGCCTACACCCTAAACACAAGTTAACCAGTGTTGTTAACATGTAAAAATTGAGAAAGTGTGCATCTACTCATGGATGAGAGGCTCGTGCCTGTGACAGTGCCAGATGTAAAGATTTATATCGTCCTCCTCGGCTGAGCTGTAATTATAGCTAGCTCAGCAGTGCTAGGTGAGCTAGCAGTAGATGCACCCTCACTTCTGTGTGGTGGGTGTAGTTTGGTAGAAAGAAAATAGTTCCAGCACGAAACTGCTCACAACAAGGTCTGTGGATTATATTGAGTAACAAGATCATTATTTCTGGAAAGAGACATTGATGTTTTTTAAATGTATTTTTTGGCGCTTTGAGCTCCACAAGCTGAGTGACATCTAGTTCCATTATACTGGAGAGAAGGCAGACATCTGTACGGCTGATATCTCCAACACTCTGCAACTCACACCAAAACAATTGAGACTGATAAATGGTACAAAAGGTAAGAGGAAAAATGTGTGTATTTGATGTGAGGTGAACTGTCCCTTTAGACTGGTAACGATCCAAATGAGAACATTTTTCATGCTAGTAGCAGAAAAACTACTATCCTGACTACATGGAGGCTGTGAAAATGAGTGAGGAAGCTGAACCAAAGAGCTCCGCTGGGTGATGAGCAGTATGTTGCTAACTGGGCTTTGAATGGTAACCCCCTTAACAGCTAGCCCACACGCTCAAACAGAACATCACACCGCAAGAAAACATCAAACTCCATCACAAACATCAAAACATATCGACTACAATAAAGAAGCGGGGATCTGACGGGGGATGAGAAATGGCTCCATTATACCTCCGATAATTGTGTTATTCTCTGGCACTTTGTGGGGAAAATTATGGAGAGAGAGGTGGAGGAGAAAGTAACAGACAGCAGAAAGGACAGAGTTTTTACAATAAAAGCACAGCTCTGGGCATCACTTAATTATGAGGCGGTTCTCAGTACAGAGTTTGAAATGCCACCTCTGCATTTCTACAGTATCAGTGGGAATATAAAAAACATTTGGTAGATGGAAAGAAGGTGCGAGGGAATGAAGCTGGAATGAAGAATAATGGAGGGAGGATGGTATAGAGATGAACTTAATTCATAAATCTGCCTGGCCAAAATGGAGGCCTGGCTGCACTTTAATGGACTCAACTTCGCCCCCGTAGGCTCGATTTTGGTTCAGTTATGAATTTGTAACTCGATTGTCTGAGTATGTTTCAGGCAAGTTCAGACATAGTGGTGAAAATAATGTTATTAGCCATTTATATGAGCAAATTACTAGGAGTTTAGTCAGGATTTATTTGGGGATGGACTGTCACAAAGCTAATCTGTGGGTTCGGGTTGTGCTCAAATGTTCAGACCCAATTAAAGCTTTAATAGAGGGCAAGATGAAGGAGCGAGGGAAGGAGGTATAGAGAGCAGGATGGAGAAGGGAAGAGTGTCTGATGAGGCCCAGTTGCACGGCTTCTTCAGCATCTTTCACCCACTCCATTAGTCCCCGGCCATCTTTCTCCATTTGGCCAAACATCAATTTCACTTCCTTTTTCTCTCTCTGTTTCTTAAGCCTCTTTTTCTCTCTCGCGTGTCTTTTTCTCTTTCCTTGTACATTTCCATTCTCTCTCTCTCTGCCCGGTTCAACATACAAATCACGTTCAACTCAATCAATTCAAACACTACAATTCCCTCACCAGTAACAGAGCAATCTCAATCAGCTCTTTGTTGACGGCACAAGATCCTTTTTAGAGGAAAAGTTTCTCAATTTCCAAATTGTAAAGAAAATCCACAATAGAGGGAACTGACTGTGAAGAGAAGCCAATCTTTGTCTGTGTGCAATTACTCATTGTGCATGTAACTCTGTGAAACTGGGTTGGTGAAGCTGCTGTTATTCAGACTGTAGGGTTAACGAGTACAGCTTTAACCATCTTATAGCTTTATCAACGAGGGGTGGTGTTAGTATTCTAGCAACACTATTATTAAGGTGTCTCAATGTGGAATATGTCACCTTGGTAACAAGACGTTGTTTTGATTCTTCAATTAGCTACTGCAGCTAACTCAGTACTGCACTTCTTACTCATTGTCACAACAGGTTTATGAGGTTGTCATTTACAAGGGCTAAGGGAAAAATGGGCAGCAAAGTATCACAATATTTGCGTGGCAATATTTTATCTATTATATCTATATTATTTTGTTTATTCATATTTCATATATTTTCGATAAAGGGATGAGAAGTACTTATTTTTTTCCATTATATAAATAATTGCAAATAAAAATTAAAGTTTTGGTAACTCACTAGAATAATAAAATCAATTGATTTTTTTGGTCGCTACATACATTTTAACTGCAATAAAAATGAATTAGGTGTGAGATGACCAGACCGGAAACTTTATCTTATTAGATAAAATAGAATCAGACAAAGTTTACCTATAAGGGCCCTGACACACCAAGCTGACAGTAGACCGTTGGTCAATGTTGGGCCGTCGGTGAACATGTGTCCCTCTAGTCTTTTTGGTGTGCATGCACCATTAGCCATTGTCAACTTTTTTCAGCCAATACAGCATGTTGAATCGCTGTCAGAGATGGCGGAACCTGTTCGTGAATTAAAACACTCTGAATGGCAGTTCAGCTCAGTGCACAAGAAGAGAAACGGAAGTGAGGAAAGTAAACAAAAAGCTAAAGTCATGAGGGTATTGTTATTGTTCACTGGCGCACTGTAAATATGTTTTGTTAATTCAACTTGATTGTGTTGTTAATAAGCTAACTAGCTAACTAGCATCATGACAGTCATCTGGTTTCTCTTTTTGAATGACTATTACAGACCCACCGCTGTCTGCTGATGTGGAGAGTTACCTCCTGTGTTCATGTGCAACTTTCTGGCTGAGACACTGGCAACGTGAGGCAACACAACAGTTGGCTTTTGTCGCTGCTATTTCTTTGATGTTGGTTTGGTGTGTCTGGGCCTTTAGGGACATAATTTGCAGTTAAAAAAAGGAAATAAATCACAATATATATTGCAATATATGTCGCATTACTTAGCATTTCCTAAAATGTTTAAAATCGCAGTACTATTGTGTTGTAACTTAATTACTGCAATAAAATTGTATCGTGGGGCCTCTGGTGATTCCCACACCTACCATTTACTAAGCTGTAGTGCCTATTTAAGGCCTTAAAGTACATATAAGGTACTGTATTATATGACATTAAAGAAAGAATAATATAAATTTGCTTGGTTTACTTTTATATTAATATAAATAAAAGGCTATGTTAAAACACTGTCTAAATTCCCTGATTACTGTTTTTGACTACTCACATTAGTAGCAATGATGTTTCACCAAGTGATCACAGGAAAACACAGATACACTCAACAAAAATTTAACACTTGTTGATGCTCCCATTTTTCACTGGTTTAAATTGAAGATCAAACCCTTTTTTAATCTGCACAAAAGACTTATTTTATTTTTAAGACTTATTGTGGTTGCAAATTTGTTAATAGCCTCATGTTGCAAGGATCTGTACACAATTCCTGGAGGCTGAAACATCCCAATTGTTGCATGGCCTGCATGAAGTGCAGACATGTCATGCACTGAGTATGTTTGGGATGCTCTGCATCGGTGTGGACGACAGAGTGTTCCAATTCCTGCCAATATCCAGCAAGTCTGCACAGCCATTGAAGAGGAGTGGGCCAACATACAACATTCCACAATCAACAACCTGATCAACTCTGTGAGGAGGAGATGTCTCGCACTGCATGAGGCAAATGGAAGTTACATCAGGTACTGACTGATTTTTTGGGTATCTGTGACCAAAAAAAAAAAAAAATGCTTTTCCATAGCGTTAGTCCTGTGAAATTCAAATTAAGGTCTGTTTTCAAGATCTGACTGCACATTTCACTGTGACCTTTAACTGTGACCATCCCAAGACACACCTGTGTGTAATGATGCTGTTTAATCAGCATGTTGATTTGCTACACCTGTCAGGTGGATGGGTTATCTTGGAGAAGGAGAAGTGCTCACTAACACATATTCTATCACAAATGCGACCAAGATTTGAGAGAAATAATTATGTTTTTTTTCTTTTTTTGCAAATAAAAAAGTATTGAACTTAAACCTGTGAAAAATAGGAGCAAAAAACAAAAGTGTTGCGCTAACATTTTTGTTCAGTGTATATATGAGTATTTAAACATGCAAGTTTGAAGATTTCTCTGTTAATCTCAACAATTACTCTGTTTCAACATTTAAAAATCCTACAAAATCACATTTGTCACTTGGGTAGAGCGCAAACCATCAGGTGAAACAAGCATCCGCTACAAATTATGTACTTTTTATGAGTGTAATACAAGTAAAATGTGTCACTATCTGTATTCATGATGAAGGTTGGGTGAAGATTGGGCAGCTGTGTTCAGTCTCTCATAATCAAACATGATCTGAAGCCTAATTCTGAGATTGTTCTGTAAATACTTTTCTAATAAATGGTAAATAAAGCAACTTCTGATGACCCCATATTAATTTCAGGCTTAAGGTGTCAACTTCTAATTATGGCCCACCCACTTCAGATTTAAACCCCACCCACATCCACCCAAACCCCGCCCACCAAGGGTACAGATACGGATTAAGATAATGGTGTACTCGCTCATCCCAATTTGTCACATAATTCGTAAACTATTAGAGTTTGTAAAGTTCCCAAACTTCTTTTATGATGTTTAAAAATGTAAAAAAAATCTGTACACATCTCAGAGTAGTACAGTACAGACAGTAAAAATGCTTGATTTTTTTTCTAATTTTTAATGATATTTATATATATTATCATATAATAATAATGTTTTAACGTAATATATTATTTTTATTTATTTATTTTGCCAGCAACCCCAACAATTAAAGAATTGAGACATTTCCTTTACAATTTAGTGGTATTTTATTTTCAATTTATAAGGGACGCAGGTAATGTGTTTTATACCTCTTGTGGGTATAATTAATCTTATTTCCAAATATATGTGTCGGCTAATCTGACCACAGAGATCTGAGTGACAGCTTGCTTGACCTCAGTTATTCTTAGAGTGTACCCTTTTGGCTTCCCCTGCATCAGAGCTTTGATTACTCATGATTATAATAAAATGGCTGCTAATAGAATTGGTTTACTTTATGTTCAGGGATCGTCATTTTCATTCTTTGAAATGGCAGTTATAATAATTGTGTAAACACAATGATTGATTGTTTCTGCAAAAATTCCTCGCTCACCCTATTGTGACTGAAACAATCATAGTTCTTACACGTCTAAATTAGCAGCCATGGTTACACGCTAGGCTTGGGCGATTGAACGAATATATCGCCAATCGCCCATCGGCTGAATCCATCACGGTTGGTTTCATTTTTGGCGATTTTTTGGGCGATTTTTGTCATTTTATTTTGCTAAACTAATGGTCTGTCTCCACAGAATTAAACTCGGTACATATAGTCCATAATTACTATGTAGAGCACAATTCAAAGTGTGTGCGTATTGGAACTACTGGAACTAACCCCCCGTTAATCAGTTACAGTGGCTGCAACGGGTGCAGCGCGACAACTCTCTATTTTAGGATGCTCTTCTATTTTTTGTCGCGCTACGCTCCCCTACGCGACCCTCCAGCAGATAAAAACTACATGAAATAGTGTGCTAAAAGAGCACAATGTGTTTTTAAATGAATAAACCATTATCAGAGGTGATATGTGATGATTTTCATTTTCATGCATTTACCCATGTTTATCTGTGACATTGTGTAAATGTCCATGGTGGACATTTGAAAGCGAGTAGATGACAAACAGTCCAGTAAACTTGTAGATAACTCAAATATATGTAATAACTTAGGTGGGAAATGCTTTAACTATCATGGCTCAGCAAACGGTAAACAAGACGCTTGACGTGATGCTTACGTTTGCAGCCGGTGGAACCCGGCCGTAACGTGAATTCATATGCGCATATGGTTAACAATGTTACCAGCCGTGCTAAACACCCTCTCTGATGGCGTGCTTGTTGCCGGTATGCACAGATATTTCCGTGCCATGTTGGACATGAGTGGGCTAGCAAAGCACGCTGCATTTTTTTGCTGCATTCATGTGGTGTCGGGAGATCCGAGTTGCCGAGTTGTTTTCTGACACGAAGTGGCGTTAATGTGAATTATCCCATTCTGAAAGTCATTTTTCGATTCTTTCCGACATCACATGAATGCAACATCCCCCCTCTTTTTTTTACTCAGTCACACACACAACTGCCGAATATATCGGCAACCGCCGGTTGATGGGCTGACGGTGGCCAGTTGGAAATTTTTAACATATCGCCCAACCCTATTGCACGCAAACATTGTGATACAAACAAGCTCTCATGGCGAGAGAGCACTGCGTCATAACAGTCTGATAATGTTAATACATTCTAAACCTGCTCTGCTCTTTCCATCTGAAATGCTGGATTGATGGATTCTTTTTTGTCTTCCTTTGGTTACACACAGGAGGGTGCCACTGGTCATGAGAGCATCTCTTAATACAAGAGAGCACTGCCTGAAAGAGCTTCAGCAAATTTAGCTCCTGATGAACACATCTTCAAAAGCATATTATGGTTGTTTCACATCCTCTGTTCTCTATCAGCCTATTTATCCTTTCTTTGTAGTGAGTGGGGAGGGGGGGGGGGGGGGGGGGGGGGGGGGGGGGGGGGGGGGAGTGCAGAAAGTGCATGTCTTTATGACAACCAACAAAAGGCAGCATTACAAGACTCAGGACTGCCAAAGTCCTCAAGTTTCATATTCTACTTTAAAGGGACAGTTCAGCTGCATATATGTTTTTCCTCGTACCTGTCGTGCTACTTATCAGTCTAGACTGTTTTGGTGTGAGTTGCTGAGTGTTGGAGATATCAGCCGTAGAGATGTCTGCCTTCTCTCCAGTATAATGGAACTAGATGGCACTCAGCTTGTGGTGCTCGAAGTGCCAAAAAAATACATTTGAAAAACTCAACATCAGTGTCTCTTTCCAGAAATCATGACCTGGTTACTCAAGATAATCCACAGACCTTGCTGTGAGCAGTTTCATGTAGGACCTATTTTCTGTAATAACTGTATCATCATGGAGAGGGAAGAGTGCATCTAATGCTAGCTCACCTGGCACCACTGAGCTAGCAAACCTTACAGCTCAGCTAAGAAGGAAGCCATCAATGTTTAGATTCTGCACTGTCACAAGCAGGATCCTCCCGTCCATGAGTTGGTGCGCATTTCCTTCTGCGTGGTGATACAGTTGGAGGATGTGGTTTGGTAGAAAGAAAATACTTTCTAAGTAAAACAGCTCACAACAAGGTCTGTGGATTATCCTGAGTAGCTTTATGTCAGCTTTAGGGTTTTTCATGTTTCAACAACGCTGTGGGCAACATGTAGTTAGGTTTAGGAGATTTAGATGTTAAGAAAAAGATTATTTTTTTAACTTAAAATACCCACTTTTGGTGGCACTATCCCAGCTGGAAACGTGGTGATGTCTCTGGTGGTAAAAAACATGCTTCTTGTGAAACTATCAAACTGTTTCTGGTGGAAACAAATACACAGGTCCCTAAAAAACACCCGTGTTTGTTGAGTAAAAGCTGCTGGAAACGCAGCGATGACTTGCTAAAAAACAACCACTTTTGTTGGTAGTTGGTGTTGAACAGTAGCCTGCAGCTTGGCAGGCATCACTCTCAAGTGACATGTCATCCACCATCCCCTCCACCCATCCATGCAGGCTGTTCTTACAAATTTTTCGTATGTATTTCCTATGAAAAGCAAAGCACCCAAATTCGTAACCCATGTATTTTGAAAGGCTGCGATCATGTGACCAATGCACCGATGGCGGTAAACAAGGAAGCAGTCCCAAGGGTTTGTAAGGAGGCAGGTTGGGGTGGTGGATGGGTCACAAAAAATTGAACTTTTGCCCAGGACTTTTGTCGCATGTTTGGAACCATGTGAACTTTGAGTCATTTTAATGTACGTCCTCACCTCTGTAACTTTACATTAACTACATAACTGTACGTTAAGGATGTAAGGTCACCTGTAGGGGGCAAATTCATATGATATTATATGAACTGTTGTGCATGGATTTTTCTTTGGATATCATACGATCCATTCTATAAGAATACCTTGCTCAATGACAGTCAGCTCATTGCTATGTCACTTTTATGTAGTCAACAGTCATTGTCCGTCCGTTGCGCTCGCCATAAGACACATCTAGTTCCATTATTTTGGAGAGAAGACAGACATCTCTACGGCTGATATCTCCAACACTCTGCAGCTCACAGCAAAACAATCTAGACTGATAAACAGCACTAAAGGTAAGAGGAAAAATAAGTATGTCTGATTTTAAGGTGATCTGTCCCTTTAAGTCTTTACCTGTGTGACATTAAGTGAATCATTTACTCTCATCACGTTACGTCTGTCTTACCTGAGTGAAAAAGGGCTCGTAGATCTCCACCCCCTTGTCCGAGCCCTGCGTCAGGACCTCTCTCCCACGATGCCAGCTGTAGCGGACAGGCGGGTTGGAATTGGCCACGCAGCGCAGAAACACGGTCCTCTCATAGTAGAACTGCTCCTTAGCTTCTCCTATGCTCTGGTGCACCGTCACTACCGGGTCATCAAGGTCTGTGAGAGGAGCACATACACAGCTATCAATAAACACTCTTCAGATGAGTTATTCAATCGACGAAGGAGTGGAAGACTCCTCGGATCAATTAGTCACACAAAGCACATTTAAAGCTTGCACCTATCTGCTGAGCTGTGGCTGCAATAACAAACACATCAGGTATAAAATCTTTATATTAGCACAAATACAATCTCCTGTCTTGATTGTGGTTAAAGGTCTGACCAAGAGGGTCAGAATTTTCATTGCACTGGGAGAGCCAGTTATCAGCATGCACGCCGGGGTCGTTGTGGGAAGGGAGGTGAGAAGCCCACTACTTGAACGACTTAAGTCAATAGGATGCAGCCCAAGGGCACATTGACTTCCCGGTCAATGAGCGAGCTGCTTCATGTTCTGAGTCGCACTCCACTGTGAGCTTCAAACACGAGCGAGGACGACGAAATCTGTGCACAAAAATGATATTTGATGTCCCACACGTCAAAGAAACAATGTTTGGCTGGCCTCCACTCTGATTTCACCACTCTGTGATTTGACACATCTGTTCCTCTGCCCATTCCCCAACAGATCTGAGGGAAGTTTTACCCCGACGCTCGACAGTCGGTTATTTGAGAAAGCGCTTGTGGTTGATTAAATGGATTCAAAGTTAATCATCTTACCCGGCTATCGCATTAAGCCTTGGCAAATGGTGTTCATCATAGCTGTGGTGTCTTTTAGCATGCTAATACTCCCCTTTTAGATTATGTCCATTTGCACGCTCAAAGAACGCGGGGAGCTAGCTGTTTCCCTTTCATCTCCGTCCGAGATGCAATCAGTTTTTAACACGAGCAAAAAAAAGGCAATTTAAGGGAGAGGATGAGAGAAGCTAATGCAAGTTATCCCTCATGCTAAAATTGTAACTGATAAAGGCTGACCTTTTGCATATGAAGGGGAAAGCGATTGAGTGTATTAATGAGCGAGTTAGTGCATCAGCGAGTGAGCAACAAGGTGGATGATTGAGTGATTGAGAGAGCCGCTTGTGTGAGTGAGAGTGCAAACCGCTTACAGTAAATGAATACCCAAATCTTTAACGATTATAAGCCTCCAGAGAAAAACTAAACACGCCTTAGGTATTATTAATGGATGAATTCATCGCTTTTAATTCAGTGGCTGTGGCCCACCTCTGGATTTGCTGGGGATCAGGTCCTAATCAAGGTGCCAGTGGGCCACGGTGCACAGCATCCAGCCTCCACGCACCAGCCAGGGAATGCTGATTCCTCAGTTTCATTAAAGACATGTTCTGCCCTACAGCCCCTTAATCAAAATCTAGCAGCGGTCAATACTTCATCCAGGATCCATTACAGTGTCTCAGGTAAGAGCAATTACCTTTGGGGGGGTGGGGAGAAACAGAGGAGGGGGGTGACAACGCTCAGAAGAAGACAGAGCGATAGCGGGGCCATTTTAGAGGAGCAGATTGCTAAGTAAATACACTGATTCATTATAGAGAGGAGGAGGAGAGTATGAATCCTACATCTTATCTCTGACTCTTCCCAGCTCCCCCCTCATCTGTTTCCCACTTCCAACAGTCAATTTACCAACTGTGGCAGAAATGGAGTGATTCATTGACAGCCCCGTCTACCTTGGGATACACGTGTCTTTGAGCGGCGGACCTGATAGGAGGTTGTCTTTTTCTGTTTCCCTCATGGTGACAAGTGTGTGAGTCTGTGTATTAGGTAAGGAGAGCTATTAATAGGGCCGAAATGATATGCAGAGAGGAAGTGGATGCTGGGAGCGCAAAGAGATAAATATGGAAATATGGAAATGTACGCACTGGATTAAAATTTGATGAATTTCAAACAAAATTCCACATCCACCATCAGTCTTTTTTCCCCCCCGTAAGGATGCTGTGTGAGCGTGTGTGTGTGTGTGTGTGTGTGTGTGCGTGTCACTCTTGTGCAATTAGCTTCTGGAGTCACGCTTGACTGATTGTGAAGCTTAAATCCCCGAGCCCAGAGGAAAAGTGCGGTGTACAGGGCCGCCTGTGCCAGAGTTGTTAGGGTTTGTAATTGCAGGTTTATGGGTTCACAGGCCGGTAAATCTGCCCGTGTACGGCTAAACGCTCCAGCAAGCTAACCTTAGCATCACTCCTGCTCACTCCCACCAACCATGACAAGTCTCAAAGCTCTGGGTTTCTCTGATATTAAGACACGGAGGCTCGAGCAGCATAACACAGGAAGGTGCAAATGCCAGACATATTGTGTGTGTGTGTGTCTGTGTGTGTGTGTGTTTCGCTGTCTCTCACAAGACAAGCAGTGGAAAAAAAGGTGTAACATTTAGTTTATCTCGAATCTTTTTATACTCTCAAATGACGAACAAAACCCGAAGATGTCGATATTCCCGTTTGAATAGCAGAGATGAGATTTCTGCTTTATAGGCCTACCAAAACATTTGTTGGACAAATAGGCACAAGTGAGTGGTTTGGATAAAAGAGAAGATGAGGATTAAAGAAGGTGCTTCATTATCACATCAAACCATAGCTTCCTTCCTTTCATGTCCCCCCCTCACCACCACCCCCTCCCAAAAAGAAAGCGCATACACCTGCACAAAAACTCACACACATTACCTCACTGCACCTTCCCACACACACAGACGCCAACATCCTTGTACAGACCCACACATACCTTTTTCTGGGTTGTCTCTCGGGTGTTAATCTAATGCAAGTTTTCTTTCTTGTCTTTGATGTCTTTCACTCTCTCTCGCCTGATCTGTCGAAGTCACCGGGGAAGAGAACACCTATCTGGCTCCCAGGCTGTCAGCCATGAGCGACAGAGGCCCGCGATTAATTTCACCTAATCACTGTCCCAGCGTGATTACCAGCGGGAGCCGCTGACCTGGATGACATTTACGCAACGTCTTTCATGAGTAAAAACAGCCCCCGTTATGTCACAGATAAGCAATTTGCTTTTATTTTGCGCCAATGGACAGCGAGACAGCAGGGGGGAGAGGAGGGGTCGTAGTCGGAGGGAAACAGAGACAAAAGGAGGAAAAGGAGGGTCGAGAGTGTGTGTGAACTTCTTAATTGGTGCTATCGAGATGCAGGGTTAATGAGGTGGTGATTCTGGATAGCAGCTGTCTCCTGCACTCATTCCAAATAAGGCTGACTTGCTCGCGCTGTAGAATTTTTTGGTAGAAATATGGGCGAGAGGCATAAGTGATTAGGGAAGTTATTACTTGGCAGCCTGCCCTGTGAATGACCTCACCTTCAAGCCTCTTTTTTTAAAAAGCTGAAGTTTAAATACTAAAAAAGGGAGAGCCACCTCCACATAAATAGGAAGCAATAAGAGGTGAAATTATTTTCTGGCTCTTTAGATATTCCCCTACCATATAAAAAGGCATCTCTTCATGTGAATACTGGAGTTTGTCTGATTTTTAAAATATCATTGGTACCTAGCCTCAGATCAATGATAAATGAAGGCTGCTTTCAGACCTAGAGTCGTCTTGCTTTGGTCTGAATCAGGGACTAATTTTGTCACAAGGTTGTATAATTGCCTAGAGTTGGTTCGTGTTCTCACGGCAGCATTTACAAGAGGACCAGATCAAATGCCTTGTGTGAGAAAGCTGCTCTTGATTGGTCAGAATTTCCATGTGGGAAAAATCCAGGAAGTAAAGCAAACGTTGAGGTCGGAACACGTTCCCACCACAAACGAACTGCACCAGAGTTTGTTCGTAACCGAGACCACCTCTTCAAGAAGGTCTTGGTCCGGTTGTTTTGGTGCACACTTGCCGTGTTCACACCTGCCCAAACGAACCGCACTGAGGGGGCAAACAAGCTTGAGTTTGACTGGACCAAACCAAACAGGGCAGATGTGAACGCAGCCTAAGATAATGGGCACTGAGGGTTCAGCATGAAATGTTAGGGGTGAGTCTCTGAAACTATTAGCTGACAAAAAAGATGTTAAGTCAACCAGGAAGTCTTACAGATTAATTTAAATCTCGTTTAAAAACCCACCTGTTTTCGTCGGCCTTCTTTGCCCCTGTATGAGAGCTGGCAGCCTTTTGTTGTCTTATTTTGTTTTCATTTCTTGTGTTTTATTTATTGACTTTTTGTATATTATATTTGATGTACAGCACTTTGGTCAACGCTGTTGTTTTTAAATGTGCTATATAAATAAATTTGTATTGTACTGTATTGTATTAATCAATCAGTTCCATGTTAAAGTGCATCTGTTATGCTCTTTTTCAGGTTCGTACTTATATTTGGGGTTTCTACTAGAACATGATTACATGCTTTAACATTAAAAACACATTATTTTCCTTACACTGTCTGAGCTGGAACACCTGTATTCACACTTCCCTCAAGGTGGTCTTGAGATATGATGCTCAGGAGAATGAGACCGACAAGATCACAGTGATCTGTGGCCACTAAAATCTAGTCAGTTCATCTTTGAGTCCAACCGAACATTTGGGCCATTTTCGTTAAGGTGTGCTTGAGATACCACGTACACGAGAATGGGATGGACGGACAGATGACCTGAGAACATAATGCCTCTGGCCACATCTATAAGTGTAACTGTGTAGAGGCACAAAAAAAAATAATTTCCTAACGTCTGAGATGCTACGTCTTAGGGCCTGTCCTCCTAAAAAAACTGACTCCAAAAGTTAGAGCACCAGTACAACCAGTGTCACCCTCTTCATGTCATGCCCTCACAAAGTACCCTCACCAAATAAAGTCCAAGTGGGCTCACTCTCCTAGTTATCCAATCAAACGTCACCATCAGGATGCCAAACTGTAAATCTGCTCTCTCCTCTGCTGTCAGCTGTCATTTCAGGCAGAATCTTCGTGCCCTCTTCACCTCCAGCCATCATAACCAGAGTCCAGGACGAGCTCAACAAAGGCTCATTCCTCTTCTCATCCAGATCATCAGCACTTCTCCATCTTCTCCTCGTCTTTTTGTCATCTCATCTTCACCACCCCTACCACCACCAGTGTCTAGACCCCGGGGGAGTTCCCTATATGTCTACGGAT